GGGAAAATCAGGAATAATATGAGCCTTTTAGAATTAAAAATAAAGTGACCATATAGCCCTATGGCTTTTAGCAGAGTGCTCTGTACTCATGTATGGAAAGAGCTAAACCGTTTATCTTAAAAGCAGAACAGCAAAATTAGTAATAGAATAAAGGCATAGTTGTGGTACCAAAGACTTTTTTCTGAACAATACCTGTAGTCTTTTTATCTAGTAGAAAACTTGACTAAGAACTCCAACAACAAATACGTTTTTGTAATGAAGGAAACTTAGGCCTTGGCTTCACTACTGGGGTAAGTCAACCAAAGTTACGCTATTCCCATCTTAGGTCGACTTACCCTGTGCTGCGTCAATGGGAGACACTCTCCTGTCAACTTCCCTTATTCTTCTCGGAGAGCTGGAGTACCCGGGTCGCCTGGAGAGCGCTCTGCCGTCAATTTAGCAGGTCTTCACTAGACCCACTGAATAGACCCCTGCTGCATCAATTGCAGCAGCATCGATCTCCCTGTAGTGAAGACCAGCCCTAAGTCCAGTGCAGTATTTCCACCTTTTTTATAATTGTGTTTAGTCCTTGGTAGTATCATGTAACAAAGCATGATATGACTATATTACATTTAGCACATTGGTTTCTAACATATTCCTGTCACATAGTTATTACATGTGCATAACGGGTTAGTAGGGTTAGGTGTGAATCTAGAAGTAGACAGATAAAATCCGGGGAGGGAGAGGGAACAAAGTCAAAGTAGCTTTAGCATTCCATCTCCATGAGGAGACAGGCATGATTCTAGTGGAAATAAGGCTGCAGTTTTCATAAACATGTACCTTGAAAATTGTACAAACACCTCAGCCTTGCCTCATTTACTCAAACAAAACCCAACACCTGCTGTGAATGAGTGATCACCTGCATTACAGTGGTGTTTTAGGTGCAATTTATTAATATTTCTAACATACTTTATCCCTATAGCACCTTCTACTTAAAAAGTTCTCAAAGTATTCTATTTCCTCTAAGCGGGAATAACAGCCAGCTCACTGATGCCAGAATGAACGAATGAACAAAAGATCCTATTCACTCAAGGGAGAAGAAACATTACCTAGAATAGGATCACAACAAGCTATAGAAGTGACAAGTAAATCAAGGAACTTTTCTTCCCTGATGGATGCCATAGGTTCACATAATAGCTACATTCTTAGACGTGAGAAGAACCGTGAAAAAATGTCAACCAGGATAAAATAATCTCTCATGTAGAAACCAGGTTTTTTTATGGGCCACAGGACTACACACAACAAATATGAGCGCTTCATAAAGGATAGCACAGAATTTCTTCATTAGTGCTCACAGGGAAATCTGCTACAGGAAACTTGTCCATGGTGGTTTACACATAAGCAATACATGCTGTCCTCCAGCTAACAATGATGCTAGAGTCTGACAGGCAAAGTCCTCTGGATTCTAGACATGTCATTCTGTTTTATTTTATCTATGAGGCGGAACAATGTATCTCAAAGTATTATGCTGAGTAATTTAAGACACTTACGTGATAAGTAACTAAGAGGACATAGTTGAAAACTGATTTTAAGCATGAAGCTGTAATATTACTGGGGTATGAATGATACCACATTTATAGCAGTGCTGCATGGTTGGATGCCAGGCGAACATTCAGGAAGAATACAATGGCCTGTTTCTGATCCCTCATACACCCACATTCCCCCCCAACTCCATCTAATTACACCAGAGTAAGACAGAGCAGAATGGGAGACCCCCCAGGCTAGAATCACAAGGTGGATTTAGGCACCAGTGTCCACCAGTTAGGCATAAGGGATATGTCCCACCTGAGGTGCTGGAGAAACCTCCTTGATTCAAGTAGCAGTGAAGTTGTCACCACATAATTTAGGCAGCATGAAATGCCGTGTGGTACAAACAATAAATCGCCCAGCATTTCACCTCTCCCTGCTGCAATGGATTCCAACACGTCACAGATTCACTGCAGTTGTAGGCCAGGCACTACTGCCTAAGCTAGCTCTGGTGATGTTATATAAGGGATCAATTTAATCCAGTGAGCAGAGGAAAACACAGATCTGCAATCCAGTTATAAATCAGATTTTATCTGCACTCTCTGTACAATGGGCCAGTGCCAGCTGAGACTGGAGCACTGCAAAAGCAGTGTTGGTTATAACTATGGCCAGTGCCTACAATACAAATACACGGGGGGTAGGGAGTGTACATAACTGCAATCTGTACAGACTGAGTTCTACATCCTCAAGCGCCAGTTTATTACAAACTTCATGAAAGGCTGAGAGAGCAGCCTCGCTGGGCCTGCAACTCGCCCTCCTGTGCCTGTAGGCAGGACAGGGGGTGGGGGAAAGGCTGAGCCTCGACTCAGTACCCTCTTGGACCTGCCAAAACAGGTGAGTCAGTGCACCGGGGGAAATAACTTGTGTAAGGTATATGGCTGGTGTACATAAGCTCCGCCACAGCAAGGAGAGGAATCAGAAGCTTTCTTAGGACTAAATCATGGTCTGCACCTGGGGCAATGCAACTATGTGCCACCTCTGTTCAGTGGTTGTGGCAAAGCCACAATTTAACATTTAGTTAAACTCATCCAATCGCAGAACAGAAACCATGTGACTTGTGATCAGTCACAATTAGCTAATACAGATTGTATATTGAATACCTACATAGGCACTGCCTAGACACAGAGATCCACCTGCACAGAGCAGCTTGCAGGATTGGGACATACAGTTGTCAATTAAATTACTTACTCCAAATTGTTCACCGAGCTGTGAGCTCCACCCACATAACTTCCTTAGTGTACAAGTGAAACATTTCAAAATGTCTACCTGATGTAGCATTTCAGATGTTTAAAACAAGAAACACACGTCACGCTGCATAAATGCCCCACAGACTAGATCATTGTGTCTTGCAATATAAAAATGAAAATCTGTTAGGATAAATATTTATTTCCACATAACATTTCTTAGTCGTGAAAAACACAATATTCTATTCACATGTACACATTACTTAAACTTTTGTAATAAATTACATCAAAGAAATTCAGTAATTTTGACCAGGAATATGAAATTAGAAGTAAATACATAACACTACATTTGCATTATATTTGATGTGATTTCAAAATGTTAAGATTAACATTGGAATAGCATTAAAATTCACAAGAATAGAGTGACTGTAAAAAAAATACTCAAATACTGAACGGAAATACAGAATGCCACTGAATACACTGATTTTTTAGTATTCTAAGAGTTGGTTATGTGAAACTTCCTATTCACTTTGATCATCGGTAACAGAAAGTCAGCAACATATCAAAACACCAGCAGGCTGCTTCCAGGGATGAACCAGTATTGTATTTCTATACTAAGCTTAAAACAATTGGAATGTTACAATGTATCATCAGGTACACAAAAACAAAGCATTCTAACCTTGATGTGTCTGCATTTTCCCTAAATTTATAAATACAAACCATTCTTTCTTAAATGTAAATCCTTCTTTGCACCCATTAAATATAATTTCCTTAAAAATGACCTTAAAGGGCTTTGATAATACTAAGTAGAGTTTAGAACAGTGATCCTACTTATTTGCAACAGAATGCACTGGCTAGATTAGTCAAAACAGCTTTAGAAGCAGTGCTTTTCATGTGTTGGACACTGGGTGTGAAAAGTCACTCCTTTTAGCTCTGTGGAGCGATTATTAGCGTATTGGAAGAGCTAGGAAGCCTTAAAGCCCTATAAATTGATCATTGTAATGATTACAAGACTGAAGCCACTAACACAATGATAAGAGTTAGCCTTCTTTAGTTTTTTAATTTGTTAAAAAATAACAAATCGTGACATTTCCACATAATGCTCTAAAACTTTTGTTATTGTTCAAATGCTTTAATGCCTGATCTTACAGTCCTTATTTCTGTAAAATTTAGCTTGGTTAAAGACTGAAGGATCATGCCGTAGTAAAATCAGTTTGTATGTAGTAGAACAACTTCTTTGTAATGGTTTTAAGTACGGCTGTCAAACAATTTTAAAAAATCACAATCACAAGATAAAATAAAAGTCATGATTAATCGTAGTTTTAATCACACTGTTAAATAATAATAGAATGCCAATTTAAATTTTTTATGAATATTTTTTGGATTTTTCCTACATTTTCAAATATATTTAGTTCAGTTACAACACAGAATATAAAGTGCAGAGTGCTTACTTTATATTATTATTTTATTACAAATATTTGCCCTGTAAAAAAGAAACAAAAGAAATAGTATTTTTCAGTTCAACTCATATAAGTACCGTAATGCAATCTCTTTATCATGAAAATGCAACTTACAAATGTGAAATTTTTTTTTGGCTTGGAAATTGACGCATGAAAGAGCATTATGAGTGTTTTGTATATCTGGCATGTAAATACCTTGCAACAGCGGCTACAACAGTGCCATGTGAACACCTGTTCTCACTTTCAGATGACATTTTATTGTACAAATGTAAATTTGTGTGTCTTAGTGACTGGCTGAACAAGAAGTAGGACTGACTGGACTTGTATGAGGTGAACTGAAAAATACTATTTCTTTTATCTTTTTAACAGTGCAAATATTTGTAATAAAAATAATATAAAGTGAGCAATGTGCACTTTGTATTCTGTGTTATAACTGAAATCAATATATTTGAAATTGTAGAAAAACATCCAAACATATTTATAATACATTTAAATTGGTATTATTGAATAGTGCGATTAAAACTACAATGAATCATGCCTATTTTTTAAACTAGTTAATTTGTTTTGTGTTAATAGCATACATTAACTGTGATTAATTGATAGTCCTAGTTTTAAGCCATGTCTTAATTTGCAATTTTGAGTTTTGTTTTTAATCAATGTGCATTTAATGGAATAATGAAAAGAGCGTGTAACAAAAACAACAGTTGACCAGCTCTAAGTCTCTTGTGTATGATTCATATCTGGATGACAGCAGGGCATGACTGTAAGCAGGGGAGTAACAATATAGGTGTGCAACATAATGTATGATTTTATTTTTGGCGTTTAAAGGTTTTAGGCAATTAAACAGAAAACCGATCATCACTAGGAGGGCAACATAACTGCATATGTCTGGTAAAGATTTGTATCTACAAAATTCCCACTAATATTATAAAATACTGGGTTCATTAACAACATAATGCAGCTGTTTGACCGACCACTGCAACATTCAGTACAGTATAAGACACTGTAATCACAGCTTGCATTTTTAGCAAATACCATAAGAAATATCCAATGATGTGAAATATTCATTTTTAACAAGGTAAGAGAATGTTTTATATATTAGATATGTGATTTTATGTTCCAGTTACATACAAATGTGAATATTAAATATTCTGTATTAATTCAAGGAAAACTGCATAAATATTAGGTCTGATAACAGTGCTCTTAGTGCAAGAGTAACCCTCGAGTTCAATGGGAAAGTTCACATGGGTAAGGATTATTCTAGCGAGATAGGATCAGGTCAGTCATTATTTAAAAAAAAAACCACAAAAATCTTTAAAACTAACTTTTACTCGTTAATTTGGGTCTCTTGAAATAATTGACTAGAGCTAAAAAAGAAATGGGGCTATGTTTCAAGTTTGTCTTGAATGAAGTTATTAGGGATTTTCACACAGGCGAAGTAGAAAAATCCAGTACAAAGCTACTAAGTTAAATTTGAAAGAAACTATGCTTACTAAATTGATTAGATGAATTCAGTATTAACAAATGGCTAACACATAGCAAGGAAAATGAAGATTCTTGCATTGGGTACAGTAGATTTTTGCACAGATATCTGACAGTGTAGACATTTAGAAGAAAATGAAATAAATATTGCACTACTTACATTACCTGTGCTAGTTTGGGATGAAAGACAAAGTTTACAATATATGATCAAATCAGTTATGTTAATGATTGTGGCACTCCTTTCATTTGTTTGTAAAAATAAGTTGAAGAACAAGTCATAGACAAGTCTCCCGGTCAACACCTTTCCCTGAGTCAGCTTTCTTCTCTCTTCTGCTTTCAGCACTGTGGGGGGTGGAGGGGAAATAAAAAAGAATATATATTACAGCAGAGCTTATCATAGTTGCTAGAGCATTGAACCTGGGGGAAAAAAACCACATGACTGCATTAACTTTTCATGCTGCATGGCACAAACTGCGAAGCAAGTGTGAAAAACTGCAGTGTTCCATAGTACAGACGACACTGGCCAGCATTTTAGTAAGGAGGTAAGTCAACAATAAACTGAAAGTTTACATATGTGCAAATCTGCGAGCATGCAAGAAAAAATAGTTGCTTTTTTTTTTTTAAAAATACTGTACTACTGTTAATGATTTTTTAAAACAATGATAATGGTACAATTTTGAAACAATACCAGCATTTTTTGAAATGGCACAAACAAGAGGTTCCAGTATTTCTTTGCTGTAAATGTGTGTATTCTCATCACTCATGTATGAGAAATATTTTGGACCAATTTATCTGAAGAGACAGTGAGCAGTGCTAGCAAATTTACATGGAAGCCTCAGGGTCCTTCCTTTCTTCAGAAAAAAAAATCGAACTATTTTAATTTTAAATCCTTGATTTAGTTCACATTTATGCTGTGTGATGCCAGGCACAATTTTTTAAAAAGGGGTATCCCAGCCATGCACAAGGCAATTGTCAGCAGCATATTAACAAGAATATTTTCTAGTCTTGATTCAAATTCTAACACAATTTTAATGGAAAAATGCTGATGATTTGCCTACAGAAAGCAATATACAATATGTGCAAGGGTGATTATTTTCTCTGTCCTGAATCCTATTTTATGACAACCTGCACAACAAACAGGTTGCATTGTTATGTGAAAGGAGCGTCACTGCGAGCTCCTTAGAGCAAGATTCATCCAGTCACATTAATAAAATTTAAAGACACTTCCAAAGTGCAGGTAAATCAACCCTTTGACAAAGAATGGCAATATGTATTTCTGAAATACAAACCTGAAGCATACATATAACCTCCTGATAGGAATGATTCCCTAGCAGGAGTGAATGAGAACCAGTCCAAATCCAAACATGATTTAAATAAGGTGGGGCATATTTTCAAAGGAGTCTCCAAAATTGCTCCTGTAAAATTTCCTCACACAAGTAGTTTTTAAGGGTACAGATATTATTTTCATTTTGTTAAATCAAGCCCAAAATTTATCTCCCTGGCTGTGGGGGCTTCCGCCTATTTCTAGGGGTGCTTCTGGAAACAACAGAGGAATACTGATTTCAGCTGGATGCAACTGCCCAGTCCTGTCACCTCTGGAAAAGAGTCTCTACCCTGCCAGGTTGTCTCCGGGGGATGACATAGGAGATGCATATCCCCTGATAGTCTGACATCAGGAGTGGATTTTTCCTTCTCACTGAATCAGCCAGAGAAATCTAAATGGGCTGTGCTGGCTAAAGAGGATGTCTCCCTTGCTGAGCTTCTCTGCAGATCCTTTGGGCTAAGGGGCTATGGAGCACCAGTAAGCCAGGAGTAGGGACAGAAGAGTCCATGATAGGGTAACTGCATTGGAGTGGCTGAGAAGTCATTTACCTAACCTCTCCTCCGCTAAAGCAGCTCTGCAGCTCCTAAAGCGCTGATCTGTTTGTTTCTTTGTTTATTATATTAGCACCAAAGGTCAAAGTGTTCCAAGATTCAAGCACTCAGAAGGCTTGGTATATTTTTGACTGGACAAAGACTCTACTGGTGATAAATGCTTATATGAAATCTTATTACAGGATCCTCATTTGTTTCTATTCGCCTCATTTAGTCATATTATTTTGGTGTTTGGCAGATAACACATGAACGAGGACAGGACTATAGACAAATGCTATATTAAATGCTTGTTTAGTGGTTTAGTCCCAAAAAGCACAAGTGCAATTGCCTTCAGCACAAGACCATGCACGTTTTTCTCTCTATGGCAGAACACACGTTCCTGCAGGAAACAGAATATGGTCATCCCATTCCCTTGGTTACCTGAAAAGCCCCTTGAACTTTTCAATGTGGTCACTCTTATAACTATTACCATTGCATCCATTTATTTTCAATACTTTTCTATCCATTTGAGATCAAACTGTATCCTCAAATGTCAGCATAAAATTTTCACTGAACTCAATGGAAGCCACACACATGCACCTGAGAACAGAATTTGGCCCTTATTTAGTTTTGTTTCTGCTGTGTCATAACTAAGCATGATATGAACCTGCTTTTGTTTAAAAAGAACAAAAATGAAAAGACTGGTCCCTTGTTTGTTGGATTCCACCTCTCTCCCCGTGTTCCACCCAGGCAACTGAGACACACTAGGCCACTAGACACAGCAGACTTTAGATTTCTATAGCTACGGGTTGGGCATTTACAGGAAGGAGGATTTTATGGTTAAAAGCCTGAAAATGAAAAACGAACGGCCTGATCCTCCAGTTCTTACTCACATGAGTATGAACTTCGTCCCCAGACCCTAAATCTTAGGTTGAGTAAAAGAAGTGCCAATACTCATCCGGAAACAATGAATAGTCATAAAGGTCAAATTATCTCCTGAGACCCACCCCATACAACCTCACCAATATCTTCTGAGCCAAATTCTTTGCCAACGTAAATTTTGTGCTGTTCTGTTAAAGTCACTGGAGGTGCACCAGCATATTCCAACAGAAAATTTGGCTCATATAACTAATCTCTCTCTCACGTGTGTATACATACAAACACACACAATTATTATTGTATGTTTTTGTTTTTTTTTAAAGACAGCACCATAGATATGCATGGCACTTGGTAGATAAATGAGATACTGCCCCTGCTCTGAGAAGCTTACAATCTCCATTTAAATGCAGAAGAATACAAATCTGTAATGCTTGTCACTCATGGATGAGGCCCTAGATGTTTTAGGTTCAAGATCAGCTTCTAGTGGAAACTCCTGTAGGGCCCCTCAGCCATTGAGGGGTTGCACTGGTGCTTCTCCCATTGAAAATAGGATTCTTTACCTTAGTTTCCACAGAGATACTCTGAGCAAGGCTCATGCACTCAAGTTACATACAGGGATTCAAAATTGGGTTCATAATGAAATAATCTAGGTCAGAGGCTTATTCAAATGAGTAGCAGTGTGCTTAGAACTTTATTACTGAGGAAACTATTTCTGTGTTTGTGTTTTAGCTATCACTGAAATTGCAGTTATTGCATTTCCAATATAGGATTTTTGACCAGTAGATCCACATAGTTGTTAAGAGACAGTGCTTAAATGCAGAGGGTTAAAGAGTTCCCCAGCACAGCCTCACTATACACTTCCCCCAGGCACAAATCTACTGTGATTATGTCCTTTGGAACTATATAGAGGGTGGGAGACAAAAATCAGAGCCATATTTTTATTTTGATTGATAGTAAATTGGTGCTAAAATGGAGCGCATGAGCAAGCTGGTCTACAGAGATTTGAAATGAAGATTCTCGGTCACCAACTGTTAATCTTGTTTATGCTGTTTATGGAAAGAGACACATTGAAAAAGCAGCATGCCATTTTGGGGTAACAAAATTCAGGACCACAGCTTTTCTATTTCATTTCACTCCGTTTAGTGACGCTCACTGAAATTTTTTCTACTACGTCATCTCTTCCCAAAGCAATTAAAAAGTCAACTTTCCAGGGATATCTCTTGGATTTAGAAATCTAGGGTACAAATTCTGGATTAAAATAATAAAAATTACTACTGGACAAATAAAAATGTACATATTGTGAGTAAATTCAATTTGTCATTTAAATAGACAATGTATATATTGAGTCTTCAAAAACATGAAAAACATTTCTAGACCTTATAGAACAGTACCTATTTCAAGTATCACAAAATGACACTCAGGATTCTGACAGAATTATTTAAACATGGATCATGAGTTTTCCATTCATTTTGTCTCCCCAAAAATTACATATAGTAAGTCATCTGGGTTTCCAGAAGACACTATTTAAAATTGGAAAATGCAATCAAGGAGGAGGTTGAGGAACAGGGTCTTACCTTTGGGGAATCAGCTTCTAGAGTGATTAGGAAGGGGAGCTTATGACAGAAATGTGATATGAAACAATTAAGTAGAAAATCATGTTAATTTAAAAGTTATGGAAATAGCGGAAGATACTTCTTACAATAAATACTATACATTTAACATAGCTACTCATTCATATTCATACTCTATGGCATGGACAAAAATGCTCTCTTCATTTTACAATATACCTGGATTATACTTTAAACTTTATGCCAACAGGAAATTACATTTCTTTGGCTGTTCTAAATAGGAGTTGTAAATATTCTGAAATATATATAATGAAAGAGACTTTTTTTGCAATTTCAAGCATTCTACTCTGCCCTAAATGTATATGTATAACACTCATTAACACTAATGGGTGCTGTATGTGAGCATTTCAGTTACAGTGATGACCATGTTGTCTTTATTTTTAAAAATAAATAACTCTTCAAGAAATAAACTTAGTGGTAGCTAAAGATCTTTTATAGTCCCTCCTTTTTCAATTTAAAAAATCAGCTGTTTTGCTTGGCCCCAATACATGAGGTTTAATATATTAATAACTTAAAAGTTAAAACCTTTTAGAAGGAAAGCTTGACTCCTTATCCTTTGCATTCTCTGAGGATATCAGCAGTGTCTTCCATACGGCAGTTTTTGCCATTTCATCAGAAATATTTATCACAGATGGATCATCTCTAGATGAAAATGAACACACAATATCACAAGTGATCAGTCTTTGTTCTCTATATTACTATACAGCAGGACTTGGTCATTGATTATTAGGATAATAAATATTTAAATATGTTAAACAATTATATTAGAACTTAGTAAATATTATTAGCAACTTCACACATACTCCATTAATGTCACTTATTTAGTGCTTGACTCTTGCAGAATGTTGTACAAACATGAATTAATTGATCCTAACATCATCTGTAAGGTAAGTAGGTATCACCACCAATTTATAGATGGGGAAAATGAGATACAGAGAGGTTATGTGAGTTTCCGAAGGCCACTGAACATATCAATGAACTAAAATGGAAGAACTCCTGGTTCCTAGCACTCTGATCAATTCACTAAACCAGTGTTTCTCAATGCCTGGTCTGTGGACCGGTGACGGTCCCGGAGATCTCCCTGACACAGTTGAGGAAGGTAGCCAGCCAGTCCCTAGTATCAAAAAGATTGAGAAACACTGTTTTAGACTATACTAACCAACTCCAAATGCAAGCTACAGTGTTTTAAAACCATTGCAAAGCTGGAGTAGTTTAAAGATTTTTTTAATGATTTCAAAACGAATGTCCTTTCTATTAACATAAAAGAGGTATTAAAAATTCAGTAACAGTAGACTCCTGAACCCTTGACTTATGTCCCTAACTTTACTAGGACTGCTTCTGAGTAAGAACTGTAGGACTGTGGACTTAACCTTTCATATATTTATTTTTAAAGCTTTAAAGACCTCCATCTGTGATAGCACAACACTAAATATTGTACATCATTTATGACTTTATTTGTATACAGATCAAGGCTTGGTATGCAAAAAAAAGTGGCTCCAAAATTTTTGATGAACTGCACCAGTTTACAAGACTAGGGTCTTGATTGTGTCTGTGGCCTCTTAGGGTATGTCTACAGTGCAATTAGACACCTGCAGCTGGCCCATGCCAGCTGACACTGGCTAATGGAGTTTGGCTGCAGGGCTGCAGCCTGAGCTCTAGAGCCCTCCCACCCTGCTCCCCACTCTAGTCTTGCAGTGGGTGCACCAAGAGCCAGCCCAGCTATTCACCATTGGTGGCCTGATCCTGCAGTCTTTTTGCAGGCAAAACTTCCACTGATGTACTTTTTTCACGCTGAATAAAGACTGCAGGATCAGGTCCCAAGGCAAGGGAGGTGGAACCTAGGACACAAAGCCTTAAACACGAGTTTGGGATGCATATTTGTGCTTTGCTAACACACATGCATATTTCCTGTTGATAGGACAGATTTCACTCTATGCCAAGATTAACTAATTATACGTGTCAGAGTATAGTGGCATGACAGGGTTTTATACAGTTGTTTAGTCCTTGTCTCATGTTTGCTTACATCAGCCCCAAGTTAATCAAAATTATATTTTACCTGTAATGACCTTCAAGTGGTAACTGAACAGTGCCCTCCTCTTCCATAGCTAACATACTTTGTTCTTCCTAGGAGGAAGAAATTTAGATGCAAGAGACAAAATGATATTCTGAACATGGATCTTTTTATATCTGTTATAACCTTTCTTTTCTGTAGTATTAAATATTTACTAAAGTTCTTTAAAACAGAGGATACAGTTCCAATTGCTTTTTATGTTTGAAACATCTGATGCTAAGAATAATGTATTTGAAGGACAATTTTCCACTTAATGGTATTTTTCAATGCTAAACATAAAAGTTTCCTTTGTAACAAAAAGAGAGCGAAGTTACTAATAACTATTCAGCAAAGAACGTATATACCAGATTTCAAATACTATGTAAGAGCAGACATTTAGGCTGCACTGTTGAGCAAGCAAGAATCAGGTAATCCCAGATTTATGACTGCATGCACAATTTTACTATACAGTGAATGAGCCAGGGCTTCAAAATTAATTTTCAGTGGAACACAAAAAGGTACCTGGGAATACCAGGGGCTAAGGAGAATGGGGCTGTGCGTTCAAATCCGTTGGTCAAATATTGCAAGTTCGTGAAACCTTTAACTCCAGAAAAACATAACTCCTAAAAACCACATGTCCTGTCAACAATGAGAGGGCAAGAGCTACAGGCCTTATTTCTTTTCTGAGTTCAAATCCAGAGCATCCCTCAAATATACCCCAGGCTTAATATATACCCTCAAGTATACCCCACTTAAACTTAATGTTCTACAGAGCCCACATTATTCCAAGGCCTCAGGCAGTCCAGCACACATCCCAGGGTCCACTTAAGGGCCACAGCCCCATGCAACCTGTTACATGAGGAAACTTCAACGTCTTCTGCAAGAGTGCCAGGTTCTCTGCAAATCTAAAACTCTCTGCACTACAGGTGGGTAGATACCTAATTTATAGGAAAATGTGGGTGCAGGAGAGTCTATATGCGCCCCATTAATTCTATCCCCAGTGCGGGGACCCTAACCCATGCTCCCATGGCCAACCCTTTAACATTGCAATCCAACAAAACAAACAACTCAGGGGAACCATGGAAATAATAGTGTCTGCACAACATGAACCCAGGCAAATGCTTCAAAGTTAGGTGTGCCTACACTGACCAATCGATGTGATTATAGCAGCCTGCACTAACCCAGCACAGCACACACAACCCCATAAAGACTGAATCACAAGAAATGAATGCCAAATGTAACCAATAACCCAAAGGAAAGGGGTGGGAATGTTATTTCAATACTGGGGAGTAGGAGGCGGCAGAGTAGAAAGAGGCTGGCAGGCACTGTGTGGTAGGCACTGTGACCAGGAGCAGCAGGTTTGTACAAATGTTGGTGGTGCCCAAAACACCCAGAGCCTGCCCCACCCCCAACACCTGCCTAAGGCTCTGGGAGGGAGTTTGGGTGGGGAGAGGAGGTCTGGGGTACAGGCCCTGGGCTGGGGCAGGGGATTGGGGTGCAGGCTCTGGGAGGGAGTGTGGGTGCAGAAGGGGTGAGAGGTTGGGTTCTGGGAGGGAGTTTGGGTGTGGGGGGGTCTGGGTGTAGGCTCTGGGTTGGAGTTTGGGTGCTGGGTGCAGGCTCTGGGAGGGAGTGCGGAGGGCAGGAGAGGGTGTGTGGGAAGGGGGGGTGCAGGCTCTGGGAGGGAGTGCGAAGGGCAGGAGAGGTGTGTGGGAAGGGGGGTGCGGGCTCTGGGAGGGAGTGCGGAGGGCAGGAGAGGGTGTGTGGGAAAGGGGGTGCGGGCTCTGGGAGGGAGTGCGGAGGGCAGGAGAGGGTGTGTGGGAAGGGGGGGTGCGGGCTCTGGGAGGGAGTTTGGGTGCAGGCTCTGGGAGGGAGTGCGAAGGGCAGGAGAGGGTGTGTGGGAAGGGGGGTGCGGGCTCTGGGAGGGAGTGCGGAGGGCAGGAGAGGGTGTGTGGGAAGGGGGGTGCGGGCTCTGGGAGGGAGTGCGGAGGGCAGGAGAGGGTGTGTGGGAAGGGGGGGTGCAGGCTCTGGGAGGGAGTTTGGGTGCAGGCTCTGGGAGGGAGTGCGAAGGGCAGGAGAGGGTGTGTGGGAAGGGGGGGTGCAGGCTCTGGGAGGGAGTGCGAAGGGGGGTGCGGGCTCTGGGAGGGAGTGCGGAGGGCAGGAGAGGGTGTGTGGGAAGGGGGGTGTGGGCTCTGGGAGGGAGTGCGGAGGGCAGGAGAGGGTGTGTGGGAAGGGGGGTGCGGGCTCTGGGAGGGAGTGCGGAGGGCAGGAGAGGGTGTGTGGGAAGGGGGGTGCAGGCTCTGGGAGGGAGTTTGGGTGCAGGCTCTGGGAGGGAGTGCGAAGGGCAGGAGAGGGTGTGTGGGAAGGGGGGTGCGGGCTCTGGGAGGGAGTGCGGAGGGCAGGAGAGGGTGTGTGGGAAGGGGGGGTGCAGGCTCTGGGAGGGAGTTTGGGGTTGGGATGCAGGCTCTGGAATGGAGTTTGGGTGTAGGCTTTGGGCTGTGGCAAGGGTTGGGGCTATAGGAGGGGGTGAGCGGTGCAGGTTCTGGGACGGAGTTTGGGGGCAGGAGGGAGGGTGTGGGAAGGGGTTGGGGGTGCAGGCTCTGGGAGGTGGTTGGGGATGCGGCACTTTCCTGGGGCTCCTAGGCAGGGAGGACTGGGGGGGGCTCCGTGTGCTGCTACCCCCAGGCACTGCCCCCGCAGCTTCCTATTGGCCGTAGGGGCGGTTGGGGCAGGACACAGACCCACCCCGCACAGGGGCTGCAGGATGGGGTCAGCAGCCATGTGGAGCGAGAAGCAGGAAGCTGCTCAGCTCCACTGCACTGCCAGTGGTGGGTGGAGGCCCAGGGCTGTTTTAAATCATCCAGGGGATGCGCAGCGGGGAGTGCCCAGGGGGTGGAAGGTGGGGCTGAGGGAGAGATCCGGCCTCAAACATTGCTGGAGCTGGAGCCCAGGCCAGGAATATTCCTGGTGCCCAGGCACCACGGTCCCACAGAATTTGACTGTGACAGCACCCTGGTTATATGGCCCATATTCCGAGCCCACACTCTTAATTTGGCACTAGCTATAAATGCTGGTATCCTTTCCCACAGTGAGGGAATTTAAGCCTTGCCAAAACCAAGTTTTTCTCCCTACCCATTTTACTACTAGACCTGTTAAGAAAAGTCACCATGTTAATTTTTATAATGAGAAAAGTGTATTTTGTCCGTTCGGGTCTTACTCAAAATGGCTTGCGTGGTTAACTCTGAAATGGCCTCCGAAGTGTGTATTGGAAGAGATGAATATTATACAAAAGAAAACTGCAAAGCAGGGGGGAAAGGCCCTAGAAATGTAAAGCAATGTAAATTATGAAATTTTGATCCAGTCAAACAAGTTTTTAGATCTTGTCAACTTTATTTATACTCTTGTGGGTAGAATATTTCTATTTTTAAAATCTGTGTGATAGCAACTCTCCAATTAATTCTTTAGACTACATGTCAGAAGTTTTATTACTAGTTAATTTTGTCATTTCCAGGCTTCACAGCTTCATAAGTTTTTGACAGTTAAACAGTTTTAATGATAGCTCCAAATATTTAGAAATGCCAAAACATGTAAAAATAACCTCTCGAAATAGACAGTGACTGAAATAAAGCAGCAGCAGCAGCAAAAAAAAAAAGAAAAAAAAAAAGATTTTCCCAGTTTTGTTGTCTGATGCCGTGCTATCTGGAATGTGAAAGAAAGCGACACATAAGCAAAACATAGGCATGATATGGAAAGGGTTTCTTTCCAACAACTCAAAATGTGAAAAAGGTACCTTGATTACTTATAATTAGTTTGAATAAAAAAGACAACAGATGTGGACTCAAATCTCTTGTTTGCATTGGTATATCAGTTACAGTGTGAAGTAGAAAGAGCAGTGTATTTTAAATTTCATTCTGATAGCTTTGGACATATATTACAAATAGTAAATATTAATAATTAATATATTTATCACTTATATAGCATCTTTGGTTTTCAAATTATTTCATAAACATTAATTTTCACTATGTACCAGTGAGGCAGGACAGTAAATTTTATCCCCATGCTACAGATGGTTAAACTGAGGTAGAGAGGCTAAGGCCCAGATTTGTCAAATATTTAGAAGTTGCTGTGTTCAGCATTGCAATGCCTTACTGAGTTAGGAGTCTACATACCACTGTAAAAGGGATTTAGGTACTTAACCCAAACTCCAATTTGGGGCCAAAGGGATTTAGGCTCCTGAGTCCCTAAACCACTTTTGAAAATTAGATTTAGCTTTCTAAATCAGTCAGTGTTACAATGCTTAGCACAGCAATGTCTAAATAACCTTTACAAATCCAGACCTAAGTGAATTGTCCAAGGCCACTGAAGAAAACTGTCATTTCCAGGATTAGAATTCTGGGGTTTCTGACTCCTAGGCCTGTGTTCAAATCACTAGACCATAGCCCTCTCTAAGGGACCCACTTCATAATTAGATGTACCACTAGGATTCCTTCTTCCCACACAGAATCTCTTTGACCTCAGTATGACATTATGTTAGCATACAGGTCTGCAGCAGTGCATCTATTTGCAGGACTGGGCTTAGATTTGTAACTTTAAAATGTGATATAATCAAGGTCAAAGGACTGACACAGTTAAGTCTACATGTCACATGGAAGATGACTCAGCTCTAAGATTTACTCAATGGAAATACTGATAAAGAAAAATTAGGAAGTGAAAAATGAAACCACGACCTACCTCTTTTTCTGCATCTTCCAGTTTCTTTTTCTTGCTTTCGGGCATCAAATCATCCAACCAGCTTAGCTCCCGTTTGGTAAAAAATAAATCCATGAGTTTTCTGACAAACACCAAAGCTAAAACCTGGTCGAGACATTTATTTCAATGGTCAGGGTATTGTAGGCAAATACAAATGGTAAATATGCTTTTAAAGGGACACTTTCAAAAATGATTGTGTTTAAATTTGTAGTCAAGAGGCATGGCACAAGCATACATATGGATGTTATACTGTCTACTTTGCTTTGCTTGCATACATTTGGTTGGTGGACCATTCAAGAGGGAAGCTGGAATTTAATTCTTTATTTTGGAAGGGCTAATGCATTTTTCAGGGCTTGGAAAAAATTTTTTAGGGTGCAGTATGTTCTGGGCCAGTTAATCTTTACTGTCAACCTCTAAAGCAGCATGAAATACTAATCTTTTTTTAAGTCAATGATATAACTAAGGAGAATTGATTTCAGTAACAGAATCAATTGAGTTATTTATTTCAACAAGACATAAAACTCTTAACAAAAAAGTCTCTCCAGGCATTAAACACCCTTATTGAATGGATGTTCTTTATGTAAAACAATCAAGTAGAAATTTTTTTTAAAGTGTCAAAGAGTATCATAAAGGACCAAATCCTACTCACCTTTCTCATGAGAATAGACAGTAGGGCTACTCACATGTATAAAGTGAACGAGATTTGATCCAAACTGCAAGGTTTATATAGAATTTCACTTAGATCATGCAATGTGAAACTATCCTTACCTATATTTTGAATATACCTGTACCCAATTCATGTTTTCTAGCAATTATTATAATTTAGGAGAAATAACTTATCTTTTTGAGAAAATAAAAGAACATTTTCATACCATCATTGGAAAGACAATGGCAGCTCTTGAAACCTTTATAATCCACAGGAGTACAAGACAGCTCAGCTGAATTATGGTGAAGAGATGGACTTTTCGAAGAGGAACATGCCTCAGATAAATAAAATCTGGTTGATGCTTTGCGGGCATCCAAAATAACTTTATTCTATCAAAAAGCTAAAAGAAATATAAAGCATAGATTTTAGCTGCTAAATTCTAAGAAATTTATAAGCAACTGAAAAACAGGATCTTATAATGTGAAGTATCAGGCAACCTTAATAAAAGATGACCAGCCCCACCGATAATAAACAAAATTTAAAATAAATGGGACACTGTCAACTTGTAATCATATTTCCACATTTTGTGACAAGTAACCCTAAAATATCTAGAATTGAAGGAGATTAAAGAAAAATGTTTGCTTCTCTCTCTTTTAGTTTGTTTTCTTTGTGCACTTGACAGCACTTTTGTGCATAGCCTACTTCACTTTTTTGTTGATGGTGTGTGCCCCTCCCCCAGGCTCTGCAAGGGTGCATCCATCTCAGCACTTTTCACACACTGGTGCCGCTCTACCGGCACTAGCCAATATGGGGGAGTTCATGTAGGCTGGGCATACGTGTTTTTACTACGTCATTTCACTTTGCAACAGTACATGAGAAATAGTCCTAGTGCCAGATCCTGAGCTGCAGCTGTGGAGTGGTTGGCACAGCTCAAAAGAGTGGGATGTTAAGGAGCTGTTGGTACTCCCACAATCCTTGGCCAGCTCTGTGCTGGCCTAGACCCAATGTGTAGATTGTTGCCAATGGTGTTGCAGCTGCCAACTACCTCCAGGGCCATTCCAGCAGTGAGAAATCACTAGAGCATTCCCTTTCCCCTAAGTCATGTCCACTGTAGGAATTGCTACAGTTGCTCTTCCCTATCTGAGGTATCTCTTACATGTGGGAGGGGAATCCTCAAGAGTCTGGTTAAACCAGCTTTAGAGCAGCTAAACAAAGGATTGGTCTACTTGTGTAGACGAAACTCAAGCGGATGTTTACCATTAATAGTAGTAGCAATGCTGAAATGGAAGAGACAGTAGGCAGGCATGGGTACAGAGGGAAGAGGAAGGAGCATATGCAACAGTGTGTTGCTCTTAGGCCCATGCAAAAGTCCCTTTAAATAATCAACAGAGGAGCAGAAGAATCATTAAAGGTTTTTACTTTTTTTCTTTTAATTTCCATGTATACTATTTAAAGAGAAAAATCCATTTTATTTTTCAAATTAGTCACTTCCAGGCAATGAAACTTGACAGTGTCCCTTTAAGTTTCTATATGAAAGTAAATAGAGAGTAAAAGAAAAAATGACTATCCATTTTAAAAGTAAACACAATCACTAACAGAGAAACGTGTGCTTTTCTTATACTCCATTTTACCTGAATTCCCTTTAGAGATGAAGCACCCATGTAAAGAAATACCCCATAGAGTACTGGCATAGGAATAAACTGCACAGGTGAGGAGGGCGAAAAAAGGAAGAAGAACATAATGAATATCAGCTCATGTATAAAGATATTTTAATTCAAAGAGCCATATTCCTGAATTAATCAAACCAGAATAAATTCAGAATAACTCCCTTAAAATTAGTAGAGTTACTCTGGGTTTACAACTGTGTAAATAAAGAGCAGAATTTGGCTCCGAAGATGCATTTTACTTTAACAGTTAGTTACCACAATGTACTTTACTCATTGTTCTCAAAAATTAATACAAATGTCCAGGAAATAAAAGTGTAAGAGTACATACATAAAATAATCAGATAACTTTCATGTAAAATATTGTTCAGAATGTGACCTGAACATTGCAACCAACATTCTCAGAAAAAGCATCTAAGATTACACTTTTTTCATACTGTAAATAAAACAAAATAAATAATACTGCTAAGGGAAATTTTCTATGTTGTTTGCACAGTGTTGTAAGTACAGTGCACAACTGTTTCGCAATGATTTTGTGAGTCTGAATATCTAGCTAAAATGTGCAGACTCTTTCTGGTATAAAGTATGTGGGCAGGGAAATCTTTCCATATTTAAGAACCTATTTTAAATGCAATGCACACAACACACTTTTTTTGTGAAACATGCTTAACGTTATATTTAAATCAGAATTATCCAAAAATATGAGCATTAAACAATCTATTCCCTTCATGTTGACCACACATAAGGCCAAATCCTGATCTCTATGAAACCTATGGCAAAATTCTCATCAATTTCATTAGGACAAGGATTTTGCCTACAAGCCTTACTGATATTATTAAGAATCATGTACACATATGGTGAGAATAGACCCCTAGTTATTTGCCTTGACTTGGAACCTGCTGAGAATGTGAGAAAGCTTAGCTGGTTATTTCAAAGACATCAACTGCAGAATGCTTATTGGAAACCCCCTTTTTTAACCCACAGATCTATCACACAATGTTCTTAAGTTATCCAAATACTGAACAAATTTGGTTGCTGATGTAATTTAACCAGACTTTGGTTTTTAGATGAAAATTTGTCATTAATCCAAGGCTAGTCTAACTGTGAAACCCTGGGCCCACTGAAGTCAGTAACAGAACTCCAGCTGACTTCAGTGAAGCCAGGATTTCACCCTAAGCCCTTTTGGTTAAAAATATGAAATGTCCCTACCTATTTTATTATGTGAGTGTTAGAATACATTGATCATTGTCAGACACAGAGCTATTATTGCAATATATGGCAGTGTATCTAATCGATAAAAAGCATAATTAGAATTGAAATTCTATGTACAGTACAGTACTATTCACTTTTTCTTTATTTTTCAAAATGTATTACCTTAAGAACACTTGTCAAAAAGACAGATGAGCCCATTAAGACAAAGATCATGAGCCCTGTAACTCTTTGTTCCCGTATTCCAAGAAATTTGGGCTGCTCTCCTGGAGCAGAGCACTCCGATTCCAGTTTTAAGCTATTCACATGGGAAATAGAAAGGACAGTGGCAGCAACAAACCATGGTAATCCCATAATAGAGCACACTCCCAGCATGAGTGCCACCATCAACAAGTCGAGATGGTATCCACACCCTTTCTGTTAAAAGAAACAGCAACAATAACAAGATGTAAAATGACATCTGAATTAAGGAAAGCTCTAGCAGCAGGCATACCTAATTAACTATTAGAAACAATTTCAAAAACTCAAATGCCTAACAGAAAATAGCAGTCTTCCATGTTTTATCTAGCTGTGGTCAGCAGTGAGCGAGAGGTGGTTATTATGGTGATAGTTTGGTAAATTATGTGAAATGAATTGGTGGTCTTAGTCTAGTTCCTAGCAGACAAGTGTCCATATCACAAATCTTCTACCAAAACTGGTATCATTTGGCTTCTTTGCTGGTGGTGTCATGAGAGATACCAAGAGAAGCCATCTCTAGAGGTGGTCCTTCTGTAGCCAGTTTCAGATATGTTGGTGAGCAAATATGGGAAAAGTTGTGTCGCTCCTGATTTACCTGGACCTGATCTGTTGAGAACGGTGGATGCCAGTTACCAGTGCTGTCAATATGGTATCATTCACATGCAATGAATTCACTTTTAAAAAAAACTTAATAGAGGACACCAAACAGACATGGTCATACAGGTTGAAACACAAAACTTGATTCTTCCCTCCACAACATATCACTGATATTGTTAAAGTAGCAGCTACAAAACTAATTTAAATCATCAGTGTCTATAAATGTACATGCACCTTTTTGTATGTTTTAAAATCCTTTATATTAATGCCACATCAAATGAGTAAGTTCTCAGTAGTATCATTATCATGCTGAACTGAGGTTTGCGTGTGATTTTTTTCTGGAGATTTCAATCTGTTTCTGCTTTTGTCCATTGTAAAAATAGTCTTCTATAAATTAAGAAGGTTGGTTAAAAAAATTAATCAGGTACTGTGCTTTTTCAGTTTTCCCCCATTACATTCTTAAGAAATACCATCCCATTGGTAGGAACAGTCAGTATGAAAGAAATGCCATCTTTAAAGGTTGACTGTGTTAGACAATCAGATAAGTCAAGTTATAACATTTCTGTGCTACTGAGCAGAGGTATGTAAAACACTTGATTCAAACCTCAAATGCATTCAAAATCAACCTTGGTTTGTTTTCAACTTGTATGTGAAAATGAACATTGCTTTGCATAAAGTTATTGCGTATAAATGAACTTTTTGTCAAAGCTGGACTTTTTTCCTCCCTCTTTTTGGAAACCCAGGAGCACTGTGGGTATATTCAGACTACAGCTGGAGGCATAAATCCCAACTGGCGCAGATGTATACATACTAGATATGACTGACATAGTGTTATAAGAATACCAGTGTAGCCAAAGTGGCATGGGTTAGCTCCCTGAATATATATCTAGGGTCTAAGACAGGACTGTACTTGGCTGGCTACCCCAGGCTGCTGCCCACACCACCACAGCAACACTGCTATGTTTAGTGTGCTATCTCAATCAAAAGAAAATATCTACCATGGTGGAAATTACACCTCTAGCTGCTGTGTAGACATACTCTCTGAGGCTGTGGTTCACCAGTGCACTTAAAGTTCAAACTGTTACGAGCAAAGTCACATGGGGTAAATCACATATTTTCCAATGTGGCAATAAGTCCAACTTCCTGTTCTGATGAAGCAGTAAAACCCACGTAAATAACATGAATGTGTTGAACCAGAATCTTACCTGTAAACTCATGCAGATGGCTTATGACATAAAAAAAGGAACTAAATCATTTTCAAACAAACTTGGAAGGATTTGCTACAGAGACTAAAAAAAGAAATTCTAAGGCATACTCTATTCAGAATTTGCTATGGGAAATATAAAAAAAAAGAGAAAAAAATGATTTGGAAGCAGACAGTTTCTTTCTGAAGATGAATTTTAGTTCTAAAATAACAAGTGTTTGGGTTTCTGAAATGTAAGTCACATACCAAACATGAAAATGCCATTTTAATTCATTTATTTTGTTTACCATGGGAGACATCTTCATATAAGGTAAATCAAAGAAAAAACTCCCTTCACTATCTCACTAGTCTTACATCTAAGACATGTCTAGCTAAACACAGAGACGTGTTAACAAAGATTAGTTATATGCACACATGCACTCAAAGAAGGAGTTTAAATCTAAATCCTAACTGAGACACCTTTTTTACCTTCTGACACATTTTGGAGGAATGTATGCACTGATACATACAGAATCAGGGAGTTTTTCCCCGAATCCAAGGAAACTGACATATGGGAGGACAAGAAAGCATAGCAACAGGTGATGCTATACCAGACCCCAGCAAAACTAATATGCAGCAAGACAAGAGGGCAGCCAGGAGAGCCATCTGACTCCCAGATGCCAGTGCTGAAAAAACACATTCCAAAGCTTGGCAGCAATTTCCTGCATCTGTCAAGTTAACCACATGCAATGCTATGGATTGACATGAAGAGTCAGGCTGACAAAAAGGGCAAAAAAAGAACATATCAAATGTCACAATCATCTAAGAAGAGGCAGTACAAAGTGAAGGACGCCAATACATTTGCTAAAGTGATCTGGGATTGGATTGCTGTTTATTATAAGTATGTTAAAAGAGGCCTAAATTTGCTGAATACACGAGTACAGAAGCCTGCTGTTGGATTTTGCCCAGCAGCTTTTCAGAGAGGTGATGCCCCTTTCTCCCATCTCCATCTGTAGACATCCAGAAGGAAGTTGTTCTATGTTGTTTTAAGATCCCATTTTGCCTCTAAAGTTCAGTTTTTACACTTCTCCCTCCTCCAAGAAGGAAGGGAAGGGAAGAGTAGAAAACACTTATGGGGAAATTCAAAAGATCTAGAGAGGCAGAGAGGGAACAGAGTGATAAGAAAATCCCATGTCCTCTTTATAGAGTATCAAAATTAAGCCCACCAGCAGATGATATCTGGATTTCAAGAGATATTAGACATGACTGTTTAGATTAAGTAAAGCACTTTGGCAAGTGCTTAACTTAAAGCATGCGTTTAAGTTCTTTGAAGTCAATGGGTCTTAAGCAGATGCTTAAAGTTAAATGACACCTGCTTAAGTGCTTCGCTGATTTGTGGCGTATGCTCTCAGAACACTTTTAAAGACGTGTGTAAAAAGAGAATTGCTGACAAATAATACAAATTACATACACAAAATTAACATACTTGCTCAATTTTTTTAAATTTATTGAAAAATACTGCTAAATAATGCACAGTTAATTTAACTTATTGAGCAGTGTTGAAAGTACATTACATAAAGCAAAGCAGGAAGGTAAAGTAAAACATATGACCTTTTGACTGAATACCTTTAGTTTGTGTTCTTTTCTGTTGATAATAACAGCTGTAATCTGCTGATCCATAAAGATAAGGATAGTACAAAGCAGAGCTGGAATTATGGCAGCTAAAATGGTCCACCAAGGATTAGGCCCCAGAGGAGAGACAAACCAGCCACGATCATCTCTGGTGGGCTACAAAAACATAAGGTCATGTATGGCCAGTTGAGAATTCTAGTGATTATTAAATGCTCTGACTTTGCAGCTACACAGACAAGCACTACTTAGGAAATTATATGTTTCATTTAGAGATGCTTCTATGAAAAATTAATATCTCTCTGTATAATATCACAGAATATATTAAACATCATACTGTAAAATAGGACCAGAAAGAGAAGGTAAACACAGCATTTCTTTAAGTCTTTAACAGTTATATGTTAACTGGGATATCACAGACTTTATTGCATTCAGTACAATGATAATGATCCAAGGTCTCAGAGGGATGCCCCAAACCATATAATAATCTAGGATTTGGATGATCTGAGGAACATGTGACTGCAAACTTCACAGTCCGCTGGCTGGGTCCCCCAATCTAAAGGAGCACAGGGAGCCTGATAAGAGACATGGGCAGGAGTGAGAAGGAAAATAGGGTGGAGTGAATTGGCTAAAGCTCTTTAATTAGACCAACCTCCCTTCAGCACTTTAGCAAAATAATTCACCTTTGCTCCTAAGGATCAAATAGCCAAACTTCACTTTTGTGAAACAGGACATTCCCCAGACAACAGGGAATTTCAGATCAATGAGGTTTTGAAAATAAAAGTTGCACTAAAAAGAGTTTATTATTATTTATATGTATTATGGTAGAGCCAAGGGTCACAAGCTGGATCAAGGCCCTATTGTTTTAGGAACTATAGACACACCCACACCCACACCCACACCCACACACAGTACAGCTTATGAATGAATTACCTTGAATGCGTTTGGAACCTGAAGCTTTGGAGACGGAATCCCAAGGGCATAGTCAATTAAAACCATGGACATAATAGTGAGAAAGACAGCGAAGTCACTGACTATAGATCGCACCTAGAAATATTGAGCCAAATGTCATTTCCAGCAGGGAAATACCAAAAATATTCATGTGGGATTTGAGAAAGCAAATACAAGAGCTGCATCTTAATTCCTTTTATAGTTTAAGACAGTGGCTCTCAACCTTTCCAGGCTACTGTACCCCTTCCAGGAGTCTGATTTGTCTTGCATACCCCCAAGTTTCACCTCACTTAAAAACCACTTGCTAACAAAAATCAGACATAAAAATACAGAAGTGTCACAGCACACTCTTACTGAAAAATTGCTTACTTTCTCATTTTCACCATATAATTATAAAATAAATCAATTGGAATATAACTATTGTACTTACATTTCAGTGTATAGTATATAGAGCAGTATAAAAAAGTCATTGTCTGTATGAAATTTTAGTTTATACTGAGTTCGCTAATGCTTTTTTTGTAGCCTGTTGTAAAACTAGGCAAATATCTAGATGAGTTGATGTACCACCTGGAAGACATCTGCGTATCCCCAGGGGTACACATACCCCTGGTTGAGAACCACTGGCTTAAGGGAACATTCGCCTTATGGGAAAGATTGTTCTCACCCTGTGCTATTTCAATTTCATAATATGGAGAAAGGGCACAAAGAGCACAAGGACCCATTCTTGTTCATCCACGTTGTGGTCAGGCACACTGGCAGTCCTTAGACTCCCATGAGTATGCATGAGGACAGTGCCACCGCTGGAGTGGGGGATGGTAACAGCTCCATCCTTCCTCCTCACCAACCAGAGGAGCTGGTTTAAAGGGGAGCATGCACTGAACTCTTGCAAGGAGTATTGCAGCAGCATCAGGAGACAATGCAACTCTCCCTAGGAATCTAGATTGGTGGGAGATGACTTGCTTTGGAAGAGTATAACATGCACAGGGTGGGAAATATATAAGGAATATGAACAGGATTGCAGAAGGACACAACACTTGTAAACAGAGCACCATGCTAAAGGAAGATCAATATGCAGTGGGAGTAATATTGTCTTTAGAACATCAAGCTTTTTTTTATCATTATTCCTTTTTCTGAAGAGAGCTGAGTTTTTAACCTTTAGCACCAAACCCCTTCTGAGTCACTCTTCAGTGTTAAAGGCTGATTTAAGCTGTTTCTCTTTGTTACATTTTGCTGTGAAGTACTTTCTGTTTTAAACATCAAGATGGAAACAGAGAAAAAATAACAAAAAACAGATAATTAAACAATTTATCTACAAAACTCCAACAACTTACAGCACTTCACCAGCAAGAAATCATAGAGTGCAGCAAGAAACTGGGTCTGCAACAGTGGAGATTTATACTTCCACAAGATTCACACAAACTTTTGCGTTAAAAAGGTATATTCCAGGTACCTTTGTTGGAAAATATCGGCTAGTCTTGAACTGCTTCAGTGTGGATGATAGTGTTACTGTAGAAAAGAACAGGATGACTGACCAGAAGAGAACATCTGGGACATAAGGGCCATGATGTCCACAGGCTCGTCCAACGTACTCCCCATGAAACGTCCCACATTCCTAACAGGAAGAACAAAGCAGGATTGTTTAGAAAAATGCCCTTGTAAATGCTGTTATATATATATTTTTTCTGTGATTAGTTACTCCCTTAAATGAATGACAGATTAGATCATATAATATATTGTCAATAGTAAACTAATTTTTAAGATCTTTAACCTTCTTTCATTTAAAACCCCCAAATCTTTATATCTAGATTGTATGGACAAACTGTACTTTTCAGCTGTAATGCTATGAAGAAAAACGGAAAGCTAGAAAATGAGAATTGTGCATCTCAGAATGAATAACATCTCATATACTCAGACATTGTGCCATATAGCACTAAAGAAACTTAGCAATGATTGACAGTTTTTCCTAGAAATATTTAATGACATAATCACTATGTGATATCAATTAAGGATGGGCAAATTGGTTTGGATAAATAAATCTTCACCCATGCTTTGAAACAAACCTGTATTTGTTTTTAAACAGCTTAGTTATGTTTTTTTCAATGTTTATTTTTCACATGGCTGCTGAGAGAGGAAACAAAATACTATGATAAATGCTACTCTTGTTGCATTTCCAAGCTTTAGTTGTTTGTTTTAACTTTATAATTTGAAGGAAAACTATTCAGACCTACATATTATCCCAGAATGGAACAAATAAATGTATTTACCAGAAGGGGCAGCACAATCCACAAAATTTTCTTTGCTTAGGAAAAGCTGAGATTGTTTCTAAAAAAGATCTGATAAAATTCAGGGAATACACCAAACAAAACATTAATATTTATTTCAGGCAACAGCTTCACTTCAAAGTCTTATGTGTCACAATTTGTCAAAATTTTATTCAATTTATTTTAAAAAGATAGCATACAAGTCTGCTGCAACCTAAATCTCACATGTAAACCTTAAAAGTTTCAGATACACCTCTAGTAGAAATCTAAACAAATGATTGACAGACAGCCATAAAGACAGATGTGTTCAGCTTCCTAAACAATGAGCACAGAAATGTGGAACATCTATGAAGATGTGAACTATAGAACATGGAATCCCACTGTTCACTCACTAAGTAAAGGAACATAAGAAACAGAATAACCAGAATTGAGCGGTCCACTCTCCAATACCCTGACTATGGGAGAAGACTTATACGGTGAATAAGTAACTGACCATATTGTCAAAATAACAAACTGGGGCACTTTTGTGACAACATTTATTAGAGTCATAGAATACTCAGGTACTCTACATTTTGGCACTCTTCTTTGACCTGCTCGATTTATGTCAGAAAAGCTCCCCCTGGAGCAGATCAAAGAAGGGCAAAGCTCTGCCCCATCCCCATGGACTCTGTCCCACACTTTCCTCCTCTGTATGGTTCTGCTCACCACAGAAAGAAGGAGAAGTGAGGCTATAACAACTACCAGGTACCTTATTCCTTCCCATTATATGCTGCCAGAGCAGAATTTTTTCATTAATTACACTGAGTCACTGACTCATCAAATTCATATTGCAGTACCATGGCTGGACAATTGATGACAAGCTTTGGTTTTGAAGAATGATTGGCATGAGATACACCCTAGTATGGGATGAGAGTGAGACAAGGGAGTGCAAAACTTATATATCAGTATAGCAATACATCTGGGACAAATAGTCAGTAGGTATCAAAAACCAGAAAACTTTGATGAAATGAAAAAACAGGACATTTCAGGCATCCCAAAAGAAGTTCTCAGGACTTAGGGACACCAGATGAAAAAGTACAACAGCCCTGGTTAAACCAAGGCACACAGTCTCTTTATGATGGCCTATGCACAAAGGGTGAATTTTATCCTGTAAGAATAGAAATCAATTTACTAACTGACTATACTAATGCCTGTATGAAGACTCTAAGCAGGCCCAGAGCAAACTAGCGATTTGCAGAAATCTGAGCAGACTCAGCCAAGTGTTTGTGCAGTTAATAAAATGTAATTTCTTTGCTCTTCTGATAAACTTGACCCCTGTGTCCTTGCTAAGCATTACACTTATGAGGCCGACCACCAGGAACACTAACAAGAGTTAATATGTGGAAATACAGTGCTGTCTGTGTGTGACCAGAACAAATCACTGTAGTCTATTACTGGCATATTTTGGCACCAGGGAGGGGTTGCGAATGAGATCAAGAAATTTCAAATCATGAATAAATATATAATTGTCAGGAAATCAGGATATTTATTTGACAAGCATGGGGGATATTGGAAAATCTGTTCAATCTGTTCAATCATACTGGTCTCAATTTAAACTAGATTATTGTATCTTTGAGGGAAAGCTGAGTTATATATTCCTGAATCCTTCATTGTGTTCAGTTTTTCAGCTGCTTAATATAACACATTAGGGCTTAGTAACATTTATTGTTAAAACAGAATTAGTTATTTCATATCTAAGCTACAAATATACTCTGAGAAACACTGTGATAGCGATACCTTCTCTTGTTATTCTGAGAGCTCAGGCTGTTAGGTCTTTGCTGAAAACTTTAGAATATTCCCCCTAAAACACTGGGATCCCTGAGAATGTGGTTCTTAACATTTTCCATACTGTGACCCCATGTTACAACACAAAAAAGTTTCAGGGACAACCCCTACACACTCTCCCATCAATCCATAAAGAAAGAGAAGTGGTTATGACCCTCTTTAGATCTTTGTGTCACTCCCTTGGATTGGGGGGCAACTCCCGGGTTGAAAATCTATACTGTAGAAAGAATACAATATCAACTGAATTAACATTTATAGACTTTAGTGGACTAAACCAAGGCAAATCTGAGTTCTGCTTTTGAAAGGTTTCTAATTTTCTGAAAAGAAATTCATGAAAATGAAAGACTACATGTCTATGATGACGACTCTGCCTATTGAAGAAATCAAACAAGCCTGGTCTTGTGAGTCTCATGAGCCTGCCCCAGTTTTCTCTCTTTCTAGACTGAATTGTCATTGGCTTTGTAATGAAATGACCGTTTACAAAGAAGAAAATATTGCAAGAAAAGAAAAAGAGCCTTCAAAAAGAGTGTTCAAATATGCCATTTACAATCAAGCTTCAAAAGCAGCTGAGGGAAAGGAAAATAGTAAGTGTAAGGTTCCCTGGCTCCAATCCTATCCAGAAAAATATATAGTTCAGGAACAAATATTTTGTGTGTGAAACAAGCCTTTCAAGAATAATACATTTTGCACTAGGTGCTGTAGAATGGTGGCTTGATTTCTTTTATGTCAAGGAAATGTTTATACAACTCCAATAGTAACACAGTACATAGCTAACATTAAAGGAATGGGTAAAATAGACAGTTAGCAACTAACTAGGATGTTAACAAATGCTCTCTTTCCCCCGTCAGTGTAGCCTGAACAGCTGGAAGTTTTTTTTTAGTGGAAATAGAAGCTTATAGATTCTTTTTAGACAAGGCAGCTTTGGTTTTGCCATCTGGTAGAATTTAGGTCAAATCCATTGTTGTCATTTGATGTGTTTAGACTTAATCTCAGTCATACTTCTCTGTTAGTATGTAAACACACTTTTTAAAGCAGTGCACAATGATGCACATTGTTGCTTTAATATGTACTGTGGCAAATGGCCGACACTACTGTGCTGGGTCCCACTCTTTCCCTTGGTGTGATGTGTCAGGGCGCTGTCCCTTGCCCCTATTCTTGAGTGTTGACAGCTCCATTATTGCCCTAGTGTGGGAGAGAAAGGGAGCAGGGAAGGGATCCTGGTCCGCCCCCTACTCTGGGTCCCAGCTCCTTCAGCTTCATGGGCTTCTTATCCTCTTTCCCCTTGGGCAGGGTTTCTCTCGGTCCTCTGTGCCTGGGGAGTCCCCCTGCTCTGCTTGGGCAGTGTTTTGCTTACCCTGGTACTCTGATCCTCTGGTCAATAACAGTATCCTTGCAAACTACGGTCATCTCTCCTTCCCTCCTCCTTGGGGAGGAGAGGCCGGCCCAGCCCTGCCGGTAGCCCCTGCTACGCGAGAGCAGCCCCTCTCCCAGCCAGAGGGGGAGAGGCAGCGAGGTCGTGGTGGGGCTCAGGTGAGACCCCACCTCCAAGGCACAGCAGCGCCTCGCCAGGTGACCTCTCCAGCCAGCTCCCTCCCAGGGCCTTAATTGGCTCCAGGTGCTCTAATTATCCTGTAGTAACCTCTCCTCAGTCCACAGAGGATAAGGCCTTAATCATCCTGGAGCTTATATACCTATTTATCATTCTCCTGCTGCCCTCTGGCCCTGCTGTATCACAATACTAATAAAGATTATATAATTATCGAGCAAAAAGTTTCTAAAAATATTAATGATACAAAATCTACATTAACCTTTGTTCAGCAAAGTACTGTATGAGCCTTATTTAAACAATACAATCATAACTGGAGCAATGTAATTTATTAATATGACTATAGCAGAAAAGATAACATTCATGTTCATGGATTTATTAGGTTTCAGTACTTCACTTACTGACACTGTTAGGTTTCCCCAAGTTATGTCCGATGCAGAGATATTGTGGTCATTCCAATATTGCAAGGTCTTATTGCTAGGATTATCTGGCTCCACACAACTACATCTGAAAAGATAAAGAAATATTTTTTGTATTTACTTACAAAATCTAAACTCTTTATTATGCTTATGGCATTAGTATATTAAAATGGTGCTCTACTTTTTAATATGATTTTAGTTCAGTTTAATTCAGTGAATTCTGAATATAGATCAGTAGTTATCAGTACTGCAGGAACGTACTTCACAGTGAAGTACATGTGCATATATAGTACATAACATTGTGGTGACACATGAAACTGATTATACATAATAACACAATTTTCTTTTTATTCTATTAATGTACTCCAGATTTCATTAAGAGCACTGACTTGGTATTGAGTATGTGCCAGTGCTATTAAGCCCATATCTCTGAAGTTTCCTGCATGGAGATGATCTATTATTCATGGCTCTGGGCTCTAGAGCAGGGGTGGGCAAACTACAGCACGGGGGCCACATCTGGCCCTTCAGACGTTGCAATCTGGCCCTCGAGCTCCCGCTGGGGAGTGGGGTCCAGGGCTTGCCCCGCTCTGGCGCTCCAGCTGGGGAGCAGTGTCAAGGGCTTGCCCCACTCTGTGCAGCTCCCCAAAGCAGCCACATGTCCCCTCTCCGGCTCCTACGTGTAGAGGCAGCCAGGGGGCTCTGCACACTGCCGCTGCCCTAAGTGCCGCCCCTGCAGCTCCCATTGGCCAGGAACCATGGTCAATGGGAGCTGCAAGGGCTGTGCCTGCAGATGGGGCAGCGCACAGAGCCGCCTGGCCATGCCTCCGCGTAGGAGCTGGAGAGGGGTCATGCCGCTGCTTCCAGGAGCTGCTTGAGGTAAGCACCACCCGAAGCCTGCACCCTGACCACCCATGTGCCCCAACCCCCTGCCCCAGCCCTGATCCCTCTCCAGCCCTCCAAACCCCTTGGTCCCAGCCGGGAGCACCCTCGTGCATCCCCAATTCCTCAGTCCCAGCCCCAACCCAGAGCCCTCAGCCCCTCCCGCACCCCAACCCCAATTTCATGAGCATTCATGACCAGCCATACAATTTCCATACCCAGATGTGGCCCTCGGGCCCAAAAGTTTGCCCACCCCGGCTCTAGAGTCATGCATTCCTCATAATCTAACCGTGCTGTGTTTCCCCTGTCAGGATTTTGCATTAGCCCTAGGACATGCAGCACTGCATCTGCCATTTTCCCCCCTCCTCCACAGCTGCTCTTAAAGTTTCATTTTCATTTTAAAGTTTGTATTTGAACACAGGAAATGTGGCAGAGGCAGCGTGGGAGGACAATGCTCCAAACAGGCAATTTAAAATCAAAATTAAGTCTTAAGCATCTGAAGCAGCTGTGGGAGGCTTGCTCCTCAGCAGAGTTTAAAGAGTATGTACGGTGTTTTGCAGATTCTGAAAGGAAAAACATCTTGCCTTGCAGCATTCTTCAGTCAAGCACACTTAAAACCTACAGTACAAAACTAGCAATAACAGCTGCAAAAAATGCTATACCGCGCTTAGTGTTAAACATTTCCTGGACAGCTGTGGCCTGGTAGACTAAGCGAAGGGTGGGAGTCTCTAAATCTGTATTCAAATCCTGACTCCATCACTGAACCACAGTATGCACTCAGACAAGTCATTAACCTTCTCTTTGCCTGTTTCCCTATCCATAAAATAGGGATAGGAATTCTTACCCAGGTTTATAAAGTACTTTATGTTTTGCAGTTGAAAACTGCAGCTCTCTATACCGCAAAACACAAAGTAGTACTATTACATGTCCACTGAAGTACTATACATGTGAACCCACACCTGTTATTTAACATTTATAGACATATTTTCTTTGTAGACCTTCTTGGTTTTACTTTAAATGAAATAATATTATTAAAAATGAAAGAAATAATGAAAAAAATAACAACCCATGAACATAAAATAAAGCAACACCATACAAAGAAACTTAGAAATGGATGCCCCAATTCAGTCACCTGAATTTTTCAACAGGCTTCAATGAGCTTTGGATCACGCCCTGAGTGCAGAGTGAATGTATTCAAAACTTAGTTCAAAATATTACTGAATGAAATAAATAGATTAATACTGGATAAAAGTAGCATAATAAAGTTGATGTGTGACAATGTATCAGCTACATTATTGCAAGTGTTTGTGTAATAATGCACATGTGACTATTTCCAGTTACTATTTCCTGTGAACACAATGGGCCAGAGGCTTCCTGCCTCCTGAAGTCCAGTGCTGATCACAGACTGGATAGACAGTACGATATGGCCCATTGGCTTTGTGATTACAGTAGCCAGGGTGACACAGGGTGCCTCTTTCTCAATAGAAGGGAAGACTGTGCATGTCACCATACTAAACTGTATATCTGAATGAGTTATAAATTATAAAGTTACATTTAAAATTTAGATACACTATGCAAAACGTTTCTAATGCCTTACAGTCAGAAGTGTGATAACTGGTGAGAGGATTTAATAAATATTCTGAATAATTTACCTTTTGGAATTTCATAATTCTAACAATAAAAATCAAACACCTGAAAATATTGGGTGTATTTTGTGGTTTGGTCAGTCACATTGTATACCACTATATAAATAGATCCCTTCTCACCAGCATTATCACTGAGTTCTTCCCAGGGAGACATGAACTATCATTTACTAAATTCCATAGACATTTGTTAGTTGTTGACCATTTCTCTTCGGGATATTTGTGTAAGCACAGTTCACACAGACCAAGTCTTGAGCCTGCACCATTAAAATCAATGTGAGTCTTGCCATTGATTTAAGTGGGAGCAGAATTAGATCCTTCGTGAGTGGATCAAACTCTTTTGTTTTCTACCAGATACACGGAATTAAAGCCAAAGTAGATGTTCACTCTGTTAAAGACACCAGTTTGTTGTGATTATCACTGAACAAGTGCTGCTACAGGGAATACAGAAATTATAGTTTAAGGGAATGCCTCAGAAAATTCTGGCTTAATATTGAAGTGGCCCTAGGTGGTAAAAGATGAGATTTCCACTATGTCTCTTCAAATAATCTTATGTCTCTGGAGAAAATATACGCTCTTGGGAGCAACGCAGCCAGCAGATGGATGTTTGTAGTGACACAGGAGAGCCTTTTCCAAACTATAATTCAGCAGGAATTTATTAGTCAAATTTATTAGTCAGCAGGAATATTGTGTTCAGGGACATTTTACTAACAGTGTGAGGTTTTATATTTTAAAATCTTAAGTTAAAATAAGTAAAGGGGAATACAGCAGCAATAACATGAAATGAAAGTCCCTTTCATTACTACTTTGTTTCCTGTAATAGTGAGCTAAGCCCTCAGGACTAAAGTAAAATACATTGCAGTGTGCACCAGCCGTGTTTTTTTATCTTCCTCAGAATATTGTCTGTGGTGTGATAAAATGGTGCACACAAAGCTGGAATAAGTAATAACTCACTGTCTCTATTGCAGGTTCAAAGATTCCTAGTAGAATGCTATAAAGTTAAAGGTTTATGGTTGGCACCTACTCAGCATCTAAGACACACTGTCTGACCTGTTGAAGAGTTCATGCCTTGTTCAAATCAAACAGCAATGTGCTATGGACACTTCTACAAATATGTTTTTAAAGTAATGTAGTATAGTTTTAAACACCACATTTGCCAAATAATATTCTTTACTACCCTTTGTGGAAAGAGTAATAAGTCAGCACCTTAGCAATCATTTTGGTTATGCTAATAGATACATAATGATTTGCTAGGAAGAAATTGCTGTTTTCACAGATAAAAATACAAAAGGGAAGGACTGCCAGTATTAAAGGTAGTGAACCCTTAGGTGTCATTATGGACAAAAATAAGATGGCGAAACTATAGCACCTCTGTTGGCAGAACCAATCTAGTGACAAAATGCTACTTTTTGCATCCGTGGCCTTTGGTTAATGTTTTACCTAAATGCAAAGGGTTCTCACATTTCTCTTTTATTGAACAAACTTCAGATATTACCTTGCATCACCCACCTTGTCTCTCTAATGACATGGCTACGGCTACACTACATATATGACAAGACACGTTTAAAATATCAGAGTAAGGAAATGGCAAGGGATCTGGTTTCTTGGAATTGTGGAAGGAAGGATAAATGCTGAGCTACCAAGAAGTCAGTCAGGAAAGCAGAAATCTACAAATACAAAAACAATTCCTCATTTTGTTATCATTTCCTAACATTCAAAAAAATAAACCTTTGTTAACTGAGACTCTGGCTTTTCTAGAATGGAGTCCATGTACTGTCAGCCGCTCCATGGTCTGCAGCCATGGCCAATAAGGGTTAATGTTCATAAAAGAAGTTCTACTATGTGGGAGGTATTTTCACACTGACACTTCATCTAAAAGCTTTCACGAAGAAATGGTTCTGAGATGAGAGCTCAACCCCCTTCCAAGACGAGAAACATCTCTCTGTGAAAACAGATTTGATCTAATGGGAGTTTAGAAGTATGGTACTACATGTTCTGTATGGAGGATGTCACTGTTTGTTAAATTCTGATTATTAGAATGTACTGTATCCATAGTTTAAGAGAAAAGTCAATATACATAGCAAAACTAGCCAAAGTCTTTGTAAAGTCTTCATAATCCTTAGAAATTACGTGGTTTAGACTGCATAACACCTGAAAACTGGGTGATTGAGGGGTAAGAGTGAGCCATGTGGGAGCCTCTCTAGGGTTTCCAGAGTAGAGGAGGTGATAGTGAGGAGGGTGTCAACAATTGGAAAGTGAGAAGGGCAGATGCCATACAGGCAAAAGAGAGACAGAAGAAGCAGCATGGGGGGAAGGGGAGGGTAACACCTGGGAAATTAGTTGGACAGTAGGTAGGATAGAGTTCTGGCTGATGGGAGGCATAGGTGGAGGGAAAGGGGAAACAGTTGTTGTGTCGAAGCTGGAGGAACTGGATGATGAGGTTAGTATAATTTTTGGAAAAAGAGGGAAATCACTGGAGGATTAGGCAACTAGGAGGGGTTTAGGCACTCTGTAGTAGGAAGGATCAGAAGGCGTTGCAAGGGACAGCAAATGAACATTTAAATTA